TATGCTATGCTATGCTATGCTTTTGCTTTGCCTTCGCTGTTGCCTTCACTTTTGCCTTTGATTTTGCTTTTGCTTTTGCTTGGCACCCAGGGAGCGCAACTGGAGGAACCGCGCGTTTGCTTTTACCTTTGCTGTTGCCTTTGCTTGGCTCCCAGGGGACTGGGGGAACCGCCCGGGGCGGGTTCCACTGCCCGGCCCCTCTAAGCCAAGAAAGTAAGAACCCTTCTAGGCAGAGCCTAGGTAGCGAAAATTACCCCAAAAATGTGCAAAAGGTGCTCAAAAATACTTTTACAAATAGTCCCTAGACTATTTTTTGACTATTTTTGAATATTCCCCCTGTAGAGGGACAGGCCCGACTTAACCCTGGCCCGATCGTCGGCGTCGGCTTCGGCGGCGTCGGCGGTGGCCAAGGCGTTGGCGTCGTCGGTGTCGTCGGCGCCGGTGTCGTCATCGGGCCCCGTAGTACTGAGGGTGTGGAGGTCACCCACGTGGGGCTGGAGCACATGGGGTCGGTGGGCGGCCGCCGACGCACCGGCGATGCATCGACGACGCTGGCATGGAGAAGACCGAACTCCGAATCGAGCCGCACACCGCCGATGCACCGGCGGTGCGGAGCGATCCACCGGCCCCATCTGCTCGCTTGCATGGCACTCCTGAGCCACCTGGCTCTCCTCCTCTGAAGGGGCTCTGGGACACACAAATAAATACACACGAATCAAAAAATCTCCATATTTTCCCATTTGTTCTGGGTTTATGTCTTCTCCCCCACTTCCCATATTTTCCCATATTTTCCTGGGAGTCGACGATTAATTGTGTCTGTGTGTTTCTTCCCCTCCTGATCCTCATCCGCCTCGCTCCCTCCCTAGTTTTCGAATTGATAACCTCGCGTCTCCGGCGGCCCGTCGGGACGCTCCAGGCAGTCCTGGCACGCTCCTGGCGAGGCGCGTGCTGAAACGCACACCGAGGTTGGAAGCCGCCGAGAAGCGACGAAAGTGTCCGAAACCCTCGATCCACTCCCAGTTGGGCGGCCTAGAGTTAGATCGGGCATGTCCTCCTACAGGCGGAGTGTAGAAGAAAGATGAAACAGCAAAAAGCAAAAAACAAAAATACCCAAAACAAAAAAAACGCCCCCAGAAGATTTCTTCATGTATGTTTGAATACGCACTCCTCCTGTAGAGGGACACGCCCGACCTCAGCCTAGAGGGTGGCCGACCGACCCCGCTGGACCCCGCCAGGCAGGGGCGCCTTCACGTACGCCATCGCGTCCTCAAGCTCGCGGGCCTCCAACGTGCCGTCCCCCAGCTCCGACGCCCGCAGGGCGGAGTACGCCTGCGCGCTGGAGAGCAGGAGCCTCCTCCTCCTCCTCCTCCTCCTCCTCCTCCTCCTCCTCCTCCTCCTCCTCCTCCTCCTCCTCCTCCTCTCTCCTCCTGCTCCCTCCTCCTCCTGCTCCTCTCCTCCTCCTCCGCCTCCTCCTCCCCCTCCTCCTGCTGCTCCTCCTCCTCCTCCTCCTCCTCCTCCTCCTCCTCCTCCTCCTCCTCCTCCTCCTCCTCCTCCTCCTCCTCCTCCTCCTCCTCCTCCTCCTCTCTCCTCTTGCTCCTCCTCCTCCCCTCCTCCCCCTCCTCCCCCTCCTCCTCCTCCTGCTCCTCCTCCTCCTCCTCCTCCTCCTCCTCCTCTTCTCCTCATCCTCCTCCTTCGCCTCCTCCTCCTCCTCAAACTCGTCGTCGTCGTCGTCGACGACATCAGCACCATCGTCATCACCAGCATCATCATCATCATCATCATCATCATCATCATCATCATCATCATCATCATCACCATCAGCAGCAGCCGCCGCAGCAGCATCATAGTCATCATCCTCAGCAACAGCGCCATCGTCATCATATCCATCATCATTTGCAAAAGCAGCATCATCATCCGCATCAGCATACTCATCATCATCATCATCATCATCATCATTACCATCATCATCAGCAGCATCATCGTCCGCATCATCAGTATCATCAGAATCATCATCAGTATCTTCATCATCATCCTCAACATTGTTATCATCATCAGCATCATCAGCCGAATCATGATCATCATCATTGTCGTCGTCATCGTCATCATCATCATCAGCAGCAGCATCAGCATCATCAGCATCATCAGCAGCTACATCACCATCAACAACAACATCAGCATCAGCATCATCAGCAGCATCGCCGTAATCGTCGTCATCGTCACTACCAACACTATTCAACAACAACAGCAACAACAACAACAATAGCAACAACAACAACAACAACAACGACAACAACAACAGCAACAACAACAACAGCAACCACAACAACAACACCAACAACATCAACAACAACAAAAAACACAAAAACGACACCAACAGTAGCAACAATCAGTTTCAGACTGTTCGCTCCTCTCTGCTCATGTGCTAGTCAGTACGTATATCCCAAACCCTCGATACCCACCCTCGTCGTCTTCGATCGTACCTCCTTGGGGGGATATCTTCCTTACCTGCCACGTGTATTTAGTGCAGCCCCTAAAACAAGGGAAGAGAGGACGGGTGGAAGGGGGAGGGAGAACAATGGAGCACGAGAGAAATTAGCAGAACCAGACGGGCAGATCGGGTGGGCAGACCTATAGCGGGCAGGTCGGGAAGGCGGGCCCAGGCGACGAGGTCGAGCAAGCGGGTTGCTGAAGCGTGGGTCCTGCATGAATCGCGAGGATGTCTCGAGCGATAGCGCGATTCCTAAGTAAATCGTGAGGAAAGCCAGCGTGGGCCACGAAGAGCATAAAATACGAGGCCACAGAGGGCAGCGACGGGGCCGCTGAGGGCAGCACCGGGGCCACGAAGGGCAGCGAGGGGGCCACAAAGGGCGACAGTGAGGCCACGAAGGGCATGCATATGGGGCCACGACGGGCGCGAGCGAGCGGGGGCCACGAAGGGCATTCGTATACGGGGCCACAAAAGGCAACAGCGGGGCCACTGAGGGCAGCAAAGGGGCCACGAAGGGCAGCGAGGGGGCCACGAAGAGCGACAGCGGGGCTACGAAGGGCATGTGTATAGGGCCACGACGGGCGCGTGCGAGCGGGGGCCACGAAGGGCATATAATGCGGGGTCACAAAGGGCAGCGACGAAGCCACTGAGGGCAGCAACGGGGCCACGAAGGGCAGCGAGCGAAGGCGACCGCGGAACCAGTACGGGCAGCGAGGGGCATCGAAGGCGGGCGAAGGGCAGCGAGCGGCGACTGTAGTCATTAACAGGCTGGTCGGGCGGGCAGGCCCCGACGGGTGGGTCGAGCGGGCGGGTCGTTGAAGCGTGAGTTCTGCTTGAGCCGCCAGGCAAGGGAGCGCGATTCCTGAGTGTCGAGGACCGGCATCTGAATAAATTGTAAGGAAATATCAAGCGAAACGGTTCGGTGGTAAGTTGCGAGGAAGTCCCAAACGAGAACGCGAGTCTGCAATAAATTGTCAAGAAGTATCAAGCGGGAGCCGCAATTCGGTGGCAAATTGCCATGAAGTCCCAAGCGAGAGCGCGATTCTTCAATACATTGTGAGGAAGTATTAGGCGGGAGCCGTTGTTGTTGTTGTAAACGGTGGGGCAACGATACAATTTGAACCTCAAAACTTTCCCTCTTTAAAAAAACGGGTTCGAGCCCGGGAGGGGCACTTCAATCGAAAAAAAGCGATGTGCATCGAGGGAATCAGCAGTAGTTATTATTCAGAAATGTGAATTCAACAACAACAACAACAACAACAACAACAACAACAACAACAACAACAATCATTTTACCCGAACGCTCAGTGTTCTCACCAGTGCCAGGGTTTTCATGCGACGCGAGACAATACCCCCACTTCGTGGGGGGGCAGTTCAAGCTCTACCAAATATCCAAACGACTCTTCGCGACCACCCAAACCCAGCTTCCCGCCCTATGACGTTGGGACACTTCACTTCGTGGCGTGCGGACGACCGTGGCTACTACACTGGCGTGGGGTACACACCCACAGAACTTGGTCACTTATTCGGGGCGCGCGTGTGCCCAGCATCCTGCAATTGTGACATACAATACATGACACAGACAGACAGAGAGAGAGAGACAGAGAGCAGACAGAGAGAGAGACAGAGAGAGCGGAGTTGGTCACATTTTTGGGGCAAGTTCCTGAGATCGTCGTGTTTTTTGTTGGTCTTGCGCGCGCGAATGTCCACTTTACTTTTTTTTGCAAGGGATGTTGAAATTTGATTATGTAAGAACAAGAAAAAGTAGCTCGCGCGAGCTTATGTAACATAAATGTTGAAAAACCATTGGTTTTGTGGGAGTCGGACAGCGCGCGCGGGATGAAATTTGGACATTTTTTTTTGAAAAACCATTGGCTTTTTGATGTTTTTATGTTGAAATCGTTACGAAACCTAAGGTTCTGGAAGGATTTCGTCTTGCGCGCGCGAATGTCCACTTTACCTTATTTTTTGCAAGGGATTATTGAAATTTGATTATGTTAGAACAAGAAAAAGTAGCTCGCGCGAGCTCATGTAACATAAATGTTGAAAAACCATTGGTTTTGTGGGATTCGGACAGCGCGCGCGGAAGGACATTTTGACAATTTTTTCTTAAAAAACCATTGGGTTTTTGATGTTTTTATGTTAAAATCGTTACGAAACCTAAGGTTTTGGAAGGATTTCGTCTTGCGCGCACGAATGTCCACTTTACCTTATTTTTTGCAAGGGATTCTTGCAATTTGATCAAGTAAGAACAAGAATTTTCATTTTATATTGTTTTTTGCAAGGGAAAACGAGCGTCAACAAAAAACCGGATCCGGTACCAATCGTTTTGCCTGAGACTTCCTCACGAAAATGATGAAAATGTGGCTGCGGCCTAGGCGCGGCGGGGGGGTCGCGCACCAGGGGTCCCAACAATAATTATTCTTAAGAAGAAATAATGTTCAACAACAACAACGACAACAACAACAACAACAACAGCAGCAGCAGCAGCAGCAACAGCAACTGCAAGAGCAACAACAACAACAACAACAACAACAACAACAACAACAACAACCTCATGGTCAGCAGCATCATCAGCATCATCAGCAGCATCGTCATCAACCGCATCATCATCATCACCATCACCATCATCGTCGTCGTCATCCTCACCATCGGCATCATACACAACAACATCAAATCCCACCAGCCCTCTGGGCGTAGGTGGTTGAGGGAGTAGCCTCTTTCATCCCCTTCTTCCCCTTCGGGGATGGGTTTAACACTTTCCTAATTAATATATACACCCCCTCCCCCAGGCGACCGGCGTCCAACCAGGAACCATGAGGACACCATGAGGGCCCGCCCCCCACCATTCCTGCCAAAACATACAAACCGCACTCTGCTTCCACATTTGGAGCATGCGCGGCCAACCCGATGCGACCCCACCACCATCCCTGTCAAAAAACAATGCAACGTACACTTTGGGGCAAAGTCTTGAGTCATGTTCGTGAGGCTCGCGGACAAGTATAATCGCTCTTGACAGGGACGGCGGGGGTGCCAGCATATTCCCTGCCGTGCGCAAGGCTACCATCCCTGACAAAAAAAATATACACCATGCACCTCGCGGCTAAATCTGGATCGTGCGCGGCCATCCCGCGATCACTGTCAAATGATTTTTGACAGGGTTGGCGGGGGTGGTGGCGCGTGGCCTGCTGTGCGCAGGCCCACCAGACACAATGATGGGCACTGGTTTTCGATGAAGATGGCGGGGGCAGACATGTTTCCCGATGTGTGCTGTCACGAGCGCAGGCGCACCTGACGCACTCTGCACGTGCCCCGAACATGGCGCACCTGCCGCGACTGGAGTGTGCAGCACACCTGGCGCACTCGGAGCACGTGGCGCATCTGGCGCACCAGGCGTGCCTGGCACGCTCGGACCCCAGGGGTGCCTGGCGCGCGTGGCGTCCCTGGCACGCGTGGCGTACCTCGCCAAAGCGCTGCGCATCTGGGGTCGGCTTTGGTTCCCAAAGGCTGTCCATCCAAAAACGACCGCTGAGCATGCTCAGGCTCGGGTGTTACGCATGTGTTGCGAAGGCGGATGGGGGGGAGCTAGACGGCTTGTTTGCGGGTGGGTAGCTTGATCCCTCCCCCTACACCCTCCCCTGGACCTGGACGGGGGGCTTCGCGAGCGGTCGGAGCGTCCAAGATGGCCCAAGACGGCTCCAAGAGGGCCTCGGAGACCCCAAGATGACCTCCAAGATGGCTGAAGATAGCCCAAGATGGCTCCCAAGATGCTCCAAGAAGCCCCAAGAACGCTCCAAGACGGTTCCAAGAGGCCTTCGAGACCTCCAAGGAGGCCCCCAAGAGGCCAAAATTCGTCCAAAGCCTAAGGAAAACCAATGTTGGTGCCTTCTCGCCTTTTCGCTTGCGATAGCTTTCCGAGGCCTCAAGATGGCTCCAAGCTGGCCCAGCCCCAAGAGAGACCCAAGAGAGCTCCAAGACGGCCCCAAGAGCGCCCAAGCGCGATCCACGAGCGCCCCAAGAGGGGTCCAGGAGGCGAGTTGTGGGGCTCTCGAGGGGCAACCCTAATCCCACCAGCCCTCTGGGCGTAGGTGGTTCCGGGAGTTTCCTCTTCCAACCTCCTTCATCCCCTTCGGGGAGGGGTGTACTCCTCCCCCTAACCCCCTCCCCTGGACTTGGACGGGGGGGGGGCCGCTGGTAGTTCGAGCGTCCAAAACGGCCTCGGCGAGGAAGCCAAAATCATCGGTTTTACTAGGGTTTTGGCCGATTTTGGAGGCTGCCGAGGGGGAGGGGCTAATTGGGGGACCCCCTTCCTTTGATCGATCACCTCCAAGATGGCCCCAAGAGCGCTCCCAAGGCTCCCAAGAGCGCCCCAAGAGGGCCTCAAGAGGCGCCCAGGAGGACTCAAGAGGAGACCAGGAGGCCCCAAGAGGCCTCCAAGAGTCCCCCAAAAAACCCCCAAGAGGCCCCCAAGAGGCCCCAAGAGGCTCCCACGAGGCACCCAAGACGGTCCAAGAAGCTCCCGGGACCGCCAAGAGGCCCCCAAGACGCCCCAAGAGACCTCAAAGAGTATCCCAAGAGACATCCCAAGAGACTCCGCGAGGCATTCAAGAGGCCTTTGACTCTTCTGATCGCCCTTATCCTCCTCCTCCTCCCCCTCATCATCACCATCATCATCATCATCATCATCATCATCATCACATCACATCACCACCATCACCATCACCATCACCATCACCATCACCATCACCATCACCATCGTCAAGACCACCACCATCATCGTCATCATCAGCATCATCAATATCAACATCAACATCATCATCCGCCTATTCCTCCTCCTCCTCATTCCTCCCTCCCCACCCTCATCATCCTCCTCCTCTTCCGCCTCCGACTCCTCCTCTATCCCCCCCCCCCCTTGGGGTACGACGGCCTCCCCAGCCCCTTGTTCCTCTGTATGCTGCCCCGCTTCCATGATCACCTCTACTCGCCTGGGCGTCGTTTCTGGATGGGCTGGTGGGGATACGCGAAGCGTCAAGAATTGGAGCTTCCCTCCTCGTTGACCGATGTCCTCCAAGATGGCCCCAAGAGGCGCCAAGGAGGCCCAAGGAGGCCCCAATATTGCCCCAAGATGGCCCCAAGATTGTCCCAAGAGGCCCCCAAGAGTACCCCAAGCGGCCCCAAGATGCCCCCCGAGGCACCCAAGACTCCCAAGAGCCCCCCAGGACCGCCAAGAGACTTCCAAGACGTCCCAAGAGGCTTTCAAGAAGCACCCAAGAGATATCCCAAGAGGCTCCGAGAGGCATCCAAAAGACCTCTGGCCCTTTTGCTCGCCCTCCTCCTCCTGCTCCTGCTCCTGTTCCTGCTCCTGCTCCTGCTTCTCCTCCTCCTCCTCCTCCTCCTCCTGATCCTGCTCCTCCTCCGACGACGACGACTCATCCTCCATCCTCCCCCTCTTGGGGTATATGGGCTTCCCGCGCCCTTTGTTCTTCTACATGTTCCCCCAATCCCCTGATCACCTCAACTTCCCTGGGCATCGTTTCTGGATGGGCGGGTGTGGATATACGAAGCGTCAACCATGAGCATCATCAGCATCATCATCATCAGCAGCATCATCATGAGCAGCAGCATCATCATCATCATCATCATCATCTTCACATCATCATCATCATCATCATCATCATCAGCATCATCATCATAATCATCACCATGATCATAATCATCATCATCATCATCATCAGCAGCAGCAGCATCATCACCATCAGCAGCATCACCATCATAATGAGCACCATCCGCATCACCATCACCAGCATCGTCATGAGCATCATCACCGTCGCCATCACCATCACCATCAGCAGCATCAGCAGCAGCATCAGCAGCAGCAGCACCACCACCACCACCACCCTCCTTCTCCCCCCTCCCCCCCCCTCCCCCTCCTGCTCCTCCTCCGCCTCCCCTGCCTCCGCCCGCCCCCCCTCCGCCCTCCGAGCGAGCTCCCCGCGGCTCCGTGCACACACACACACACACACACACACACACACACACTCCGGGGGGCGCCCACCGCCCGGGCGCCCCAGCGCGGTGCGGTGCCGGGCCGTGCGTCACTTGACGGCTGTCGCTTGACAGCGTTGATGGGCAAATTTTCCACCACCGCTACCATATGCAGGATGGGGGAGAAGGGGGGATGAGGAGCTCCTCCTCCTCCTCCTCCTCCTCCTCCTCCTCCTCCTCCTCCTCCTCCTCCTCCTCCTCCTCCTCCTTCTCTCCTGCCTATGGCAGTCGTGGTGGAAAATGGGCCCATCAAGTGCAGCCAGAGCGAGCCGTTCCCAGACCTTTTTGCCCCAACGAACGTAAACGAACCCTCCTACTCAAACTTCTCTCTCACAGAATTAACGAGCTGATTGTGGGCGAGAGAGACTAGGTAGGGGTGGTGCCGGCTACATGTAAGAGTGGCCCTTCGTTGGTGAAACCATTGGTGCGGGCTTGCGCGCTTGGGCTTGGCCCCAGCTTGGGCTTGGCTTGGGCTGTTGCCTAGGGTCACTCTTGCTTGTAGCCGACGCAGCGCGGTGGAGCAGGCGGGAGAGAAGGAGAAGGAGAAGGAGGGTTTCGAGGAAGGGCTGGAATAGAAGATGTCCCTCATGGGTGCGCTTTGTTACACGCTCCTCCGCAACCGCTGGCTCGGCCCAGCCAGCTCAGACAATTACAGACCTCTCTGTCGCTCTCTCTGGGCTGGTGCACCCGGTGCCCGCTCACCGCTGGATGCGCTCGGGCATGCGCTTCTTTTCTTATTCCTGTGCTGCACTCGCGGTCATCACCGCGGTTCTTCGTCGGCAAGGGCGGCAAGGGTATCCCCTCTCTCTCTCCAGAGATGTCCTCTTCCCCTCGGCCCCTGGGCACTGGCTCGATCGACAACAACACAGTCTGGATCTGGACAAGGTCCATTCCCAGTGGACGTGTCAGCGTGCATCCAGGCTGCGCATGCACAGGACGGCCTAGCCTGACGAGTTCCCACTGGCGCAAACACCCTGTGCAGACGCAGTGAAATCGGCAACCAAAGCCCAGCTCCTCCTCCTGCTCCTCCTTTTCCTGCCTGGAGACTTGGAGGGCTAGGGAGCGAAGCAAGCTACAGAGCGTTGAGGGAAAGAGCGATGGAGGAATGGAGAGCTTGTAGGGCTGGAAGCCTGGAGAGACTGGATAGCTGGAGGTCTGGGAGAGCAGCTGGCAGAGCTGGAGAGCTGGGGAGCCTCGAGAACTGAATAGCTCGAAGAGCAAGGAGAGCTGGGAGAGCTGGCCCTCCCTCCTCAGTCTCCCCTTCCCCCCCTCCCCCCTCCCCTCAGCAGCGGGCCTCGTGATCGCCAACGCGGCGGATCATCAGCTGCGGGTCGCGCGCACGGCGGGCAGATATAGGCAGGACGACGATGGCGACAACGACGACGACGACGACGAAGAAGAAGAAGGGGCGAGCATGCTGGTGGGTGGACAAATCAGTTCCCAGCGGCCAAGTCGAGGAGAAGCAGGAGCAGGAGCTGCTAGAGGAAAGGCAAGAGCAGGACGGGGGGCAAGAGGAAAAGCAGCAGGAGCGGGATCGGGAGCAGAGCCTGGCCAATGTCCTCCTCCGAATGCGACTCTTCATCGTCATCATCATCAGCAGCAGCCGCATCGCCACTATCCTTACCACCACCGACAATCTCATCATAACTACCCTCCTCATCCTCATCCTGAGCCTCGCCTTCCTCAACATCAACATCAGCACGCGCATCGTCATCCTCAGCAGCAGCATCATAACCGTCATCAAAACCCGCAGAAGCAACAGCGTCGTCATCATCACCGTCGTGGTCGACGGCATTATGTTCCCCGCCCAGACCATCCGCATCAGTACCATCACCATCAACAACGGAATTATCATCAGCATCGTCGTCATCATCATCATCATCATCATCAGCATCATCATCATCAGTATCACCATCATCATCAGCAGCAGCAACAGCAGCATCATCACCATCATCATCATCATCATGATCATCATCATCATCATCATCATCATCATCATCATCAGCATCATCATTAGCATCATCAGCATCGCCATCGCCAGAGCCATTATCATCAGCATCAGCATCATCAGCAGCATCAGCATCATCATCGTCACCATCATCATCATAAGCATCAGCCTCAGCAGCATCACCATCATCAACAACATCATCAGCATCAGCATCATCATCGGTAGCTTCATCAGCATAATCGGCATCATCAACATCGTCATCACTAGCACCACCGTCATCATCACCATCATCATCATCAGTGTCATCACCACCATCATCATCATCATCATCATCATCATCATGAGCATCAGAATCGGCATCATAATTATCATCAGCATCAGCATCGTCATCATAATCTCCATAATCATCAGCAGGCGCATCATCGGCATCCCCCCATCATCATCATCATCATCATCATCATCATCATCATCATCAGCATCATCATCATCATCATCAGCATCATCATCATCATCAGCATCATCAGCATCATCATCAGCATCATCAGCAACAGCATCATCCGCATCATCAGCAACATCACCAGCAGCATCGTCATAGCCAGCCAGCATCGGTATCAGCATCATCATCGGCATAAGCAGCATCATCATCAGTCTCAGCATCATCAGCAGCATTAACAGCATCAGCAGCATCATCGTCATCGTCATCATCATCAGCATCAGCATCAGCATCAGCATCATCATCATCATCATCATCATCATCAGGATAATCGGCATCATCATCGACACCAGCATCGGCAACATCAAGCACCAGCATCAACAGCATTAGCCGTCTTAGCATCGGCATTGTCAGCACACTCATCATCATCATCATCATCATCATCATCATCATCATCATCATCATCAGCAACATCATCAACATCAGCTGCAACAACATCATCAGCAGCAGCATGAACATCATCATCATCATCATCATCATCAGCATCATCATCATCAGTATCATCATCATCATCATCAGCAGCAGCAACAGCAGCATCATCACCATCATCATCATCATCATCATCAGCATCATCATCATCATCATTAGCATCATCAGCATCGCCATCGCCAGAGCCATTATCATCAGCATCAGCATCATCAGCAGCATCAGCATCATCATCGTCACCATCATCATCATAAGCATCAGCCTCAGCAGCATCACCATCATCAACAACATCATCAGCATCAGCATCATCATCGGCAGCTTCATTAGCATAATCGGCATCATCAACATCGTCATCACTAGCACCACCGTCATCATCACCATCATCATCATCAGTGTCATCACCACCATCATCATCATCATCATCATCATCATCATCATGAGCATCAGAATCGGCATCATAATTATCATCAGCATCAGCATCGTCATCATAATCTCCATAATCATCAGCAGGCGCATCATCGGCATCCCCCCATCATCATCATCATCATCATCATCATCATCATCATCATCAGCATCATCATCATCAGCATCATCATCATCATCAGCATCATCAGCATCATCATCAGCATCATCAGCAACAGCATCATCCGCATCATCAGCAACATCACCAGCAGCATCGTCATAGCCAGCCAGCATCGGTATCAGCATCATCATCGGCATAAGCAGCATCATCATCAGTCTCAGCATCATCAGCAGCATTAACAGCATCAGCAGCATCATCGTCATCGTCATCATCATCAGCATCAGCATCAGCATCAGCATCATCATCATCATCATCATCATCATCATCATCAGGATAATCGGCATCATCATCGACACCAGCATCGGCAACATCAAGCACCAGCATCAACAGCATTAGCCGTCCTAGCATCGGCATTGTCAGCACACTCATCATCATCATCATCACCATCATCATCAGCAACATCATCAACATCATCTGCAACAACATCATCAGCAGCAGCATGAACATCATCATCATCATCAGCAGCATCAGCATCGTCATCATCATCATCGTCGTCGTCCACAGCCTCATCATCGTCAGCAACATCACCATCGGCATCATCATATTTGGTATCATCACCCGCAAAATCGTCATTGCCTTCATTGATATCAATCGTGTGAGGCTCAGCATCACCATCATGGCCCTAATCATGTGCACAAGCAAAATCGTCATCGTCATCATCGTCAGCGTCATTGAAATCATCAGCGTCATCATCTTCACCATCATCATGATCGTCATCTTCATCAAGATCCGCTTACTCGTTATCCTCCTGTTCCTTCCGCTCATCCTTGCACGCACCAACCCTCATCACCCTCCTCCTCCTCTTGCCCCCCCTCCTCCGTATCCTGCTGCTGCCGGTCCTCCTCCTCATCCCACTCCTCCTTATCCAGCCTCTCCTCCTACCGCTGCTCCTCCCCATCCCCCTGATCCTCCTCCTCCTCCTCTCCTCCTCCTCCTCCCCTCCTCCTCCTCCTCCTCCTCCTCCTTCCTCCTCCCCTCCTCCTCCTCCTCCTCCTCCTCCTCCTCCTCCTCCTCCTCCTCCTCCTCCTCCTCCTCCTCCTCCTCCTCCCGTTCCCGATCCTCACTCCTGCTCCCACGCGCGCTGGCTGTTCGCCCACGCTCCGTCTCGCGGCGCCCAAGCAGAGGGCCGCCCGGGCTCGCGCGGAGCGCAGCCGTGGCTCAGTCGTCCACCTCCTCGTCGCCTGAGTGGAAGGGCACCCACGAGCGCGCGGCCGCGTCCTCCTCTCTTCCTCTCCAGGGAGAGAGGGAGCAAAACGAGAGAGAGAGAGAGAGGAATCGGAGGACGAGGAGGAGGAGGAGGAAGACGACGACGACAACAAAAAGGACGAAGAAGGGGGGGACGAGGAGGAGGAGGACGAGGAGGGAGAGGATGAGGAGGAGGAGGAGGAGGAGGAGGAGGAGGAGGAAAAAGGAAATGAAGAGGTGGGAGGAGACGCCACGTTGGCCCCACGAGACTCGCAGCACGCGCAGCACTGGTGCAACCGATTCGGACTATTCTGAGTCTCGCGCCCGCGAGACACGGGCCGCAAGACAAGGGGGCAAGGGCGACTCTCGCTTCCGGAACAGCAGCTTGAAAGACACTGTGGGTTCCGAAGAGTAGGAGAAGAAGGAAGAGAAGGAGGAAGAGCAGATTGCAGCAGCGTACGCAGGAAGAAATGAGGACGTTCCCCTCCACCTCCTCTTCGCTCCCCTCGCCCTCCTCAAAGATGCTCCTCCCCCTTCCTCCTGCATCGTCTCTCCCACATCCCGTCTTCCCTCCCCTCCCACTCCTCCGCCCCCTCCTCTTGGGCACCGCTGGCGCAGAGGCTCTTCCCCCGCATCTGCCGGCAGGAGATACGTTCACTCTGCGGCCCTGGAGGTCCCGACCGCTTCCCCAGGGGTAGTTTTCCATCCTGGATCCAATTTGGAGGAGGAGGAGGCGCCACTCCGTGGGGTGAGTCCGATCCCCTCCTTCAAAGCTGCTGCTCCTCCTCCTCTTCCCCACCCCACGGGCCTTGATGCCCTTGGAGCGCTCGCCGTACCGTCGGCGACGCCGCCGCGATAGCGCGGGCGCGCGCACGGGCGAGGGAGGAGAGCAAAGCATGACTACATCTACCATGTACACGCACGTGATTAAATGTACTGTAAGTGATATCTATGGCAATGGCAATGCTCAGCAATTCAGAGAACGACAGATACCTAGGAACACCGATGATGAAACCAGCTGGATCTCCAGAGGCCCAGGAGGAGGGAAGAAGGGGGAGGAGCCCAGTCACAACTTGCTGAAAGTGAGGGCAACATAAGTAGTGCCTGAGATTGTCCCCATCATGCAAGTCACAGCCCAGTCTACATGGAATCGTGCCCAGTCGATACCGAGCTGTGGTGTTCCAGGCGTTCAAGTAGGTCTTCAGCAAGGTCGCAATGAAATGGGGAGGAATCTTTTTAGCCAGCACATTCAAACGAATAAGGGTCAACTCTGCTACTGAGGGGCCATATTCCCTGCACCACTTCGACAGTCTTCTATTGAGAACCTCGATAACCGACGGCAACGAGCAGGAACGTTCAAGAGCACGATACGTTTTGCCTTGAAGCTGGGGGACAGGCTCAGGAGGAACCCCAGGAATAGCCGTCAGTTCACTCCACACCTCATTCAGGTATTTGAAGATAGATGTGCAATACAGTTTCTGATTTTGATAAGCTACCACATATCCTCCTTCCTCGTCCTCAAGAATGCTCGTGATCTGATGCCCCACCCTCCGGTACGCTTCACTACGGAGACAGACCCGATATGCAGCGGCCTTGCAGTGCAGGGCAAGGTTCCGAGGCTCCATCTCGAAACCGAACATTTTCAACTGGCGAATCAGCGTGCACGGGAAAGCGTTATAAGGTCCTCGTACCAGGCCCTGGAGACACTGGAACTCTGCACGAAGCGCAGCTCTGGGAGGAGGGTGAACCTGGCAAACGTGTCCCACGACAGGGAAGCAGAAGGTGTTATACATGAGGATGTTCTGGCTGAAAGAGAAGGCGAGCTGGTTGAG